GTGACACAGGCCTGCAATCCTGGCTAGTGGGAGGCTGAGGCAAGAAGATAGCAAGTTTGAGGCCATCGTGGGCAACTTGGCAAGACCTTGTCTCAAAATTTTTAAAAAGGGAATATAAGAATGTACTTCAGCGGTGGCATGCTTACCTAGATGTTCAGAGTACTGGGTTCCATCCCAGCACTGAACAAAGCACTCATAGCTTTGTGTAGAAGAGTTAATAGCAGGCCAGAGGATGCTACTTTTAGGAGGGTCTACTTACAAGCTGACCCCCAGGATCGTTCATACCTTTCCCACTGGACAAGGCGGTTTACTCTGCCTAGTTTGTCTGAATGAAGAGATTACCAGGGATGAGGGTGCACACTTGTAATCTGAATCAGGAAGCTGAGGCAAGAGGATGGTAAATTCCAGGATAATCTGGAAGAGTGAGGCCTTGTCTCAAAAACAAACTCAAAATAAAACAAAAACTAATAACACCAAAAACCAAACAAAGAACTAGTCAATACATAACTTGTTTTTTGTTTGCTTGGCTTAAAGACACCTTCTTTGATCTGTATCACTGATTCATTTACTTTACATTTAACAAGACCACATACCTCGGCCTGAAAGAAGCTCACCTAGTTAATATTCTCCCTCTCAAGGCATCTTCCAGGTCCCTCGTGGCTAAGGACAATAGCCAGCACTTTAGCACTATGCTTGGGGGTCCCTTTCCCACCTGGTACTAGGGATTTAACACAGGACCTTTGCCTTGAATTAAATATCCAGTCCATTCTTTTTTTTTTGTACTGGGGATTGAACTCAGGTCCTTGCGCTTGCGCAGCAGGTGGCGAAACCACTGCGCTAAATCCCCGGCCACCATTCTTATTTATTTTGAGACAGGGTCTTACTAAGTTGCTAAATTTCCCAGGCCAGGCTAAAGTTGTGATCCTCTTGCCTCAGTCTCACAGAGTGCTGGGATTAACAGGCATCCACCACTAGGTAGGCTTGGGAGTCTTTTCAAACAGTGAAATCACAAACAAAAAGCACAGAAATGTAATAAACATAGCACTAGATTGACCACAAAAGAGACACCACTTGTTTGCAGTGTTAAGAGTGGAAACAGGGCCAGGGATTTAGCTCAGTGGTTTCACTGCCTGCTGTGCAAG